AAACTTCGTCTTGACCTTCATTTATGTTTATCTACCCTCCCCCAATAAAAGGAAGAAAAAAACATTTTGAATTGTATGAGAGTTTGCAAGTCTTCATTTTATTTCTCGCCCCGAGCAGGGAACCCTACTTATGCCTTTTCAGTACTCTCTGTTCTAGAAGAAATTCGAACCAAAAGAAAACACAGATACCTTGCAGGGACCCGGGACATTTGTGCGACAGCCTCGAACCCGTGAATCACTTCAAGACTTCAAGACAATCTACAATTATTCATATAGAGTTAAACGCATACGGTATGGGCCAAAGTCGACTGTCGCCGCTACATCACTCTCTCCCCTCGGCAACAGGCTGTTGTCCTCAACAGCAAATCCACCTTCAATTGGTACTTCAACCTGTACGGCTGCATCTGGGACCCCTCGTTGTTGTTTCCGTTTGTTGTTGAGATCTCGCGTAGCTGTGGTTGCCGGCTTCACCCGATTTAAATGCCCCGTCATTGATCTCGTGTTCCTGTCATTTGACGGGACGATTCGGAATTTGTTGTCTGACAGGATCGCTAAGACTGTGAACGGGCCACTCCAAGTCTTGTGCAACTTTTTCGGTTGTCCCCATGGTGGTATGGGTGTATGCAGGAAGACTTGTTGACCTGGCTGTACCGGCTTTCCCGCTACCCATTTGCCGTAATATTCTTTTTGACCCCGATGTGCGTTTTTTAGGTTGACACGTGCTGCACCGTGTGCTTTCCGCATCTGCTGTTATAAGTTCCATGCAAAAGCGGTGGACAGCAGCTGTTTTGAGGTTGGTGTTGTGGTGTTAAGATAAACTAGTAGACGCATTTCGCTGCCCGTGAGCATTGCATGTGGTGTGTGGCAGGTGGACGAGTGTACTGTTGCACGGTATGCCAGGAGGCAGTGNAGGCAGTGCGGTAGTGCGAGATCCCATTCGCGTGTTGAGCACTCCTCGGTGAATGCTTTTAGTAGGGTCTTAATTAAACGGTTGGTGAGCTCCGTTTGGCTGCTTCCTTGAGGGTGGTACGCTGTCGTTCGCGTTTTCAGAATGCCACAGATCTGACAAAATTCAGCAATAACCTCGTTTTCGAGCAGCTGCCCCTGTCCGAATGAAGTTGTTTGGGTGCTCCCCAACGTGCTCCCCAGTGTTCAAAAACGGCCTTGCCACAATGATTGCTTCGGCTGAGGGTATGGCAACTACCTCGATCCACCTGGTGAAATAACCTTCCATTACCAGTGTGTAGCGGTTTCCTCCAGGTGTTTCTGGTAATGGTCCGATCAGATCTGTCCCCATGATCTCATTTGGGTATCCAGAGACAATGGGCCGAAGAGGTGCCCGGTTATATGCTCTTGGCAGTTTCGTTCGGACGCATTCCATGCAGTGGGTGCAGAAATTAATTACGTCACGTCGTTGGTGAGGCCACCAGAATCTCCGGGACACTGCTTGATTCATCTTATATTGTCCCGGGTGGCCCAATTGCTGGCGTAATTGTTCTAAAACCTGTTGCACTTGTGACTGTGGGACGACAACTCGCGGTTCGAAGTTGTCTACATACCGATAGCACAGGATCTCGTTCAAAAATTGTAGTCGCGGTTATGCAGACCATAATAATAATAATAACGGTATATTTCGCGAAGCCAGCGAAGCATGCTAGTGCGCATGATTGGCATTGGCCTTCCCAACTGATCCCCGCCATTTCCTCCTTGGTCGGTTTGATACTCCCGGCCGCAATGCGGTGATAAATTAGGTGGATCTCGGAATCAACTTGTTGAATGTGCGCCCAATCTTGTATGTCCGTCCCAAAAGTGACTGTTGACAGCACACGTCGGGCACTCGCCGTGATTATGTCTGCGCCGGGAGAGTGCGTCTGCTTTCAGGTGTTTCTTTCCTGCTCGGTGTTGACAGTCTAAGTTGAATGCCTGTAGCTGTTCTTGCCATCTGGAAACCTGACCCTCTGGTTCTCTGAAGTTCTGAAGCCATCGCAGAGACTGATGGTCTGTCTGAATGAGAAATTTCTTCCCCAAGAGATAATGTCCGAACTATTTGGTATACGTCACTAGAGCCAACATTTCCTTGCGAGTTGTGCATTAGTTCCTTTCGGGCTTGCTTAGACAGCGGCCGGCATAGGCAATCACTTTTTCATTTCCATCGTGGCACCGCTGCGACAAAACACCGCCGATTCCCGTCTCACTAGCATCCATGTACAAAATAAATTCGCCGCCCGCCTCGGTTACATCGGGAAGCTTCAGAATGGGCGAAGACGTCAGTCGCCCTCGCAACTCCTCGACGATGCAGAGGAAAAGCAATTTGTGTGTAGTCTTTCACGAGTCGACGATAGCATGATGTTAAACCAAGGAACCGTCGGACGTCGGACACCGACGTCGGCTCTGGCCAGGTTTCTGTCGCTCGTGTTTTCTCTGGATCACTTTTTATGCCTGTTTCGCTTATGATATAGCCTAGGTAGTTAACTTCCCTCTTCAACAACTCATACGTTTCTGGCTTCAGCTTCAACCCGGCCATTTGTATCGCAGTGATAACCTGTTCCAGGTTCGATAAGTGTTCGTCTAGGGTCCTTCTGTGCACTACGCTATCGTCCAGATACACCAAACACTTTGACGGTATGAGGTCGCCCAGTACCATGCCCATTATTCTCTGGAAGGTAGCGGGAGCGTTCGCGTGTCCAGAGGGCATGGTTTGGAACTAGAAGATTCTGTTCGGTATACAGAAGGCAGTCTTCTCCCGGTCCGCTGAATCGACTTCCACCTGCCTATATCCAGATGCCAAGTTTAGCGTACCGAAATACCTGGCACCACCCAGTGACTCAACCGTATCACCGATCCTCGATAGGAGGAAGCTATCCTTCGTGGTTACTTGGTTCAACCGGCGGTAATCAACGCAGAGACGTAGGGCTCCATTCTTTTTTCAACTAGCACAATTGGCGAGGCCCGGGGGGACTGGGAAGATTTGACTGTACGTCAACTAACCAACCAACCGCACTTGAGTGACGCGTAGCCGAACCGATACGAATCCCGACTTAAAAACACAATTGATCCGCAATGTTCTATGGCAGTGAATTAACAAAATCATTACAAATGTACAATAATGCAAACCTGAAATATGTGGCTAAAAGCGCTCAAGCAAGCGAGATAAATAAGATGTCCAGAGAGAGGCAAACAGTGGCTCCCGTTCTCAAACCACGCAAAATTCAAATGTGCCGGGCATCGAATTAACAGATAAATAATGATGCGTGGTGTTTGTGATCGAGAAATGTCAATATAGGAGCAACACACAGATAAAGTTATTTGACCATAAATCATTATGGGGTTGGAAGGATTTTCAAAAATTTAGCATGAAATACATTGACCACTCCCCCGCGCAGCATATCTGCGACGATCTTTCCTAAGTCCTCACGCGATTGTACCGGGACGCGTCTTGACGCTTGGCGTATCGGGGTGGCTCCTTGGGTGTCGATTCGATGTTTGACGAGATTCAATGTTCCTAATCGGATGCCATCCCACGCGAAAACATCCCAAGATCGATTAAGTAGTCTTTTCACGAACGGCCTATATGCGGAGTCTGTTTGTCCAAGGAGTTGTGCTGGTCCGTTTTGTGACTCAACACTGCTGATGGTTGGTCGTCCATGCCTGGGTACTTTTTCGGCTTGCATGAGGAGAATTTCCTTCCCCTTGATCATAAGTGTGTTATTCATCGAGTTCAGGACGCATTTCTGTACAGGGAGGAAATCGACGCTCAGGATGACGTCCCATGGAAGTTCGGGGATGACCACCATCTGGTGATGTAGGGTTTCTCCGACAACCTTCAGGGCGATGTTGGCGCTTTCTGTTACGTTAATGCGAATCCCGTTCATCGCGTGTATTGTCGTTCTTATTTTCGTGGTCGAGAGACCAGGACTCAGACGCGGGGAGATAAGACTACACGAATCTCCCGAGTCAATCAAGGCGGAACAATGTTTACCGTTAATAACTGCTGGCAAAAGCGGTGTCGTGTAGATGGGATTGAAAACGGCAGTAATACAGGGTGGGATTGGTCGACTTACGTAGTGGGTAAGCCTGCAGTCTATACGGATTGTCGGAACGCCACGGTCTTCTGGGGGTCTCGTCTTGCCATCGTGGTGGGGCATACCTCTGCATGGAGTATGATGCAGCCCCACGAGTGTGACGCATCTCATTTCGTTTGGGACATTAGCGGACTCTTGTGGATATGTCCCTTTCGTTTCCGTTTCCTAGTTGAAACGCACGCCGAACGGTCTCAGTCAGAGGGTTTGGAGGGCGTCTTTGGAGATCAACTTTTGCATTTTTGTTCCGCAGCCCAGTGACGAAGCGTTCTAGAGCAAACTCCTCGCGGAAGTTGGTTAAGCGATGGGAAAAGGCGGAAGCTACCAGGGATCTAAGTTCGTTAGCATATTCGCCTACTCCTTCGTTGGATGCTTAGTTCCGGTTCCATATTGTATCATGTGCGGAAATCGGGTCTTCTAAGTCCAGGATCAGAGAGTCGAGGGTCTCCCATATTTTCCGCGGTGGACATTCCTCATCCACGTGTTGTTGTAAGACGAGCTTCTGGACACGATCACTCGGACGATCGAAGATTCGGATGCTTTGATATTCACGGGGAACTCCTGATAAATGTCTCTTCATTTTCGCCTTCCACAGAGTAAGATTCGTATCGACTTCAAACATCGGTGGTGGTTCATACTGTTGATAACTGAGGGGCTGAATTGTGGAGTGTGGAA